TATTAAAAGCGTTATTTTATTATATTTATATATAATTTAAGCGAGAATAAAATAAAGAATAGTAAAATTAATTAATTAAGATAATGTATTAAACGAAGAAAGTATTTATATAATCTTATCGAGTTTAAAACTCGTTAACGCGTTATTTAATAGACTATCGACGTTATTAAAAGTTAAATTTTATATTAAATAAGAAATAATAAAATCGTTAAATATTAATTACGTTATATAAAAAGTATAATAAATAAGAAAAGAAATAAAAAGATAACTAAGATTTTCTAGATACTAGTTATTAAAAATTATCTCAATCTAAAATTAGAAACTAGACGCGCTAAGAAAAACACTATTATATTATTAAATAGTTATATTATTTATTCTTTTATTACGTCTTATATATATATATATATTTATCTTCTTTATACTATTATTAAAAAGTATTATCTATTTATATTATAAATAAGCTAAAGTATAATAATAAACCTTATTTTAAATAAAAGAAAATCGATATTTTAGTAAATAAGATATTTAATATTATTTATAATATTACTTAATTCTTATTAATTACTCGATATAAAAAAAATTAATAATAAAAGAATATTTAATATTCTAGAAGCTCTAAGACGATTAGCGAAGTAATAAAAATAGAATAGTATTATAAATAATACGAACATCTATTTATAGATATAATATAAAGTAAATTACTCTTTATACTTTAAAACTTATTACTAACTTAAATATAGGCTTTTATCTTTCTATCTTTTAATAATTATAATATATAATAAAAGAAAACGCGTAAATAGCGTTCTTATTTATTTTTATAAAAAAATATATATTATTATTAATCTTATCGTTATCTAATTTTAAATTAGATTCTTAAAAAACTATATTATTAAATTATTTAAAAGGCGAAATATATTAATATAAAAAATAAATATTAGAATTAAGATATAAGACGATAGTAATTAACGCTATTCTCTATTTTTAAATAACGCTAATTATTAATTTCTCTAATAAAAGTTATAACGCTTAGACTAAGTATTAATAAAATTAAAAATTAAAAATATTAAGATTTAAGATTTAATAAAAGTTTATAAAATAATATAATCGCGATATAGATAAAAGTCTCATATTATAGAAAATAAGAAGAATAAGTATTTTCAAGTAAATTCTTAATATATTACTATAATTAATAGCTAATCGCGTAATAATTATATAATATTATTAGCGAATATTACGTATATTTAATAAAATAAGTTCGCGATATTATTTTAAGTTATAAGACGTTTATTAATATTAATAATAATTCTAAAAAATATATTTAAACTCTATTACGAAAGATAGCCTTTTAAGTATTAATATTTAAAATATAAGTTTATATTTTTAATATAAATTTTAGCTAAATAATAAGTAATTAAAATAATTGAAAGTATTTTTAAATAATAATATTATTAAATTCTTTACGATAATATCTTTAAGTAATAAAAGTAAAAGCTTCGATAATAATATTAGAATAAAATATATATTTAACTCTTTAATAATTAAAATTATTATTCTAGTTACTATTATAATATAATATATAATTAAGAAGTTTTAAAACGATCTAAGATTAAGTATTAAATTTAAAGATTAAGTTATAAATAATATATTATCTTTATATTTCTTTTATATAATTTAGTATTAATAGAGTATAAGTAAAATTATATAAATAAATTATAGAATTATAATAGAGAAGCTATAAGCGAGTATATTATTATTAGATATCTTAGAAAATAATAATAATAAATAATCTATAGATCTTTTATTTAAAGATTTATATAAAGACTTAAATAATAATTAATTAAACTTAAATTATTTATCGCGAGAGCGAGTATAAATAATAAAAGATTTATCGCTTAATAATACTTTAGATAATATTTTAGAAAATCTAAATACGTTTACTTAGAAGGCGAGTTAAATTATTTATTATTTATTATTTAAGATTAATTATAAATAATAGATATAGTATAAGAATTCTTCGTTAATTAAGAAGTTAGATAAAATAGCGAATAATAAAGATAAGTAGATAAGTAATTAAGAAGTATTATTTACTATAAGATAGATTATTATTAAAATATAGAAAAACGTTATAAAGTATAGATATTATAATAAGTATATTATAAGTCTAGAATTTTATTATTAAATTAAATATAGATTAATTTAAATAATTTATATAGAAGAAAAATAGCGAGATTAAATTTAACGATATAAGTATATTATAAAATTATAAAATTAATTTTTTATTAATATTTATCGTCCATATATAGATTATAAATAGTTTCTCGCGTAAAAAGAAAAAAAGAAAGAAAAAGGAAAAGAAAAGGTATATTATTAATATCGAAGAGGTTATGAAGCTAAATATATTAAAATTAAGTAAAATTTAAATAAATTAAATAAAGAAGCTAGAGATAAAAAGAGATAAAAGATTAATTTAATATTATTCTAGATTTAATATTTCTATTATAATTATAATTAAGATTAATTAATATAAAATATTCTAATTATATATATACTTATATTAAAAAATTAATATTAAAATAAATAATAAATATAATTATAATTTAAAATAAGAATATATATAAGTTAATAGATAGTAGATATATTATTATAATAGTAAAATAGAAATCTAGATTAAAGTTAATTATATTTAAGATTATTAGTATATTAATAAAAGAATAAGATAGAGCTAAATTAGAAAATCTTGAATTTGTATATACAGTTAATTATTAATTTATTAGGTCTACGCTTTTTGATTAGATACCGCGGGTAAATAAATTAGCGTTCGCAACTATTAAAAATCTTTTTCTCTACTTTTAACCCCCTAATAACTTTACTATTTTCTATTAAAATCTTAAGATTTTTTTTTTAAATTATAGCCCGTAATTTACGCTTCTTAAAAATAAAAAAAATTCGAAATTTGATCTTATAATTATTAAAGCGCAAGGAATTCAAATATCGCTTACTAAAGTTCGCTCGACAGCCGAATAGCCCTAATAAAAAAACACATTATTTAATTTTAGAATAACCTTTTTATTTTCTATTAAAAAGATTTAATTTTTTTTTCTAAATTATAGAATAAAATATGGGCTTTTAGAAAAAGAAAGAGTTATGAGATTTAGTCTTATAAATAATTTAAGATAAAAAGTTTAAATATCGCTTATTAAAGATCGCTTATTAAATTTACTCGACAGCTCTAATTAAAAGAAATAATTATAAATTTAATTTATAAATCTTTACTCGTAATATATTTTATAATAATTCTATAATATATAAAAATAATAATTATTATATTTTCTTTATAAAAGATAATACTTTTATATATAGCGTAATCTATAATAATATTAATAATATTAAAATTAATATATAAAATAAAAAGATTATTATTATTATTATTATTATCGAAGTTATTAAAGTAATTAGAATTATTAATATAGTATTAAATATTATTTTAAATTTTTTAATAGATTTAATAATAAGATACGCTAAAAGCGTATAAGTATTATAAATAGTATATAATGTATCTAGACGCTCGAGGCCGATTTTAGCGCTTAAAGACGAACTTCTTATATTATAGATATCGTCTTTGAAATATATTAATATTAATACTTAAATAAAATAGATTATTAAAGAAATACTTCTCTTTAAATTAATTAATAATTATTATATAAAATAATAACTTTGAACTTATAAAGTAAATCTATAGAAAGTAATCTATTTTTAAATCTAATTTCGAGATTAAATTATATTCTTAAACTTCGAAGAGTAAAAATATTTTAATTTAAGATTTACTTAGAATTATAAAATTAAATTTTAAAAAATTTAAATTATTAGAAAATATAGAAGAAGTTTTATAATTTAAAAAAATAATAGTAAAATTTTAATAGAAAAAAGAGATATTATATTAATCATAGATTTTTAGAAAATTAGTTAACTTTAAATTAATATAAATTTAATTAATAAGTAGTTAACTTTAATATCTAATATAGATTTTTTATTTTAATTACTATTATTATACTTTTTATAATTTATATAATTTTTATTATATTTATAATTCTTACGATTTTATAATAATTAGAATTTTAGAATTTTAGAATTTTTTAGCGAGGGGAATTAATATATTTACATCGAGAACGAAGTAGAATAATTTCGAATTTTATTAAAATTATTACTATTCGATTATTTAAGTTTATATTAAAGTACGAGTAAAGATCTATAAATTAAATGCATAATCATTTTTTTTAATTAGGGCTGTGTCAAGGAAATGGATGACTGGGTCATGAATTCATGGCGGCACCAGGGGGGTGGCGAAACCCCTTGCCGGTCTTGGCAAACCATCAAAATTTCTTCTTTATCAATTTCATGAATTATTTAGCTAATGTATCACCATCTATCTGATTTTATGGCTTAATCACCTGTTTTTACTAGCTGTCGACAGCGTGCAGGCATTTCTTTAATACGTGCCCGTATCTGTTTCAGAGAAATCGTCGCTTAAACCCGTTTTAATATCAATTTCAATTAATTAATCGTATATCACACTTCCTTTCTTAATCATTCTCGTTAATCGTATTAAAGAATCGAGTCTTCCTAAGAGTATCTGCTTATAGACCTTCTAGATTAGAATGATTTCTATTAGAGGACGGAGTTCTAGGCCTATTGGAGTCCATTGTGAAGTAATGTGAGTAAAATTAGTTGATTTCTAGGTGGGGAAGAATTTTGGTGATTTGCTAAGACCGGCAAGGGGTTTCGCCACCCCCTGGTGGTGGTGTAAAAGATGTTGATTATTCTATGTGCCTCCAGGGCAGATATGTGCGGTGCCAAGCCACGCTAGGCCCAATTGGGTGGTGGCTCTGGAGGAGGCCTTGGCGTACCGTGACAACATGCCCGCAAAGAATGAAAAAAAGACACGTCCTCGTGGCATCCCTGGATAGCTACATCAAGCGTGCGCCGTCCATATATCCATGCACCTATCCTTGGCCTATAGCCTCCATATCCTTCGCGAATCGAATGTAGCCGAGCGGAGAGGCGAGTTGAGAGGCGAGTTGAGAGATGAGAAGAGAGGCGAGAAGAGAGGCGAGAGGTAAGGTAGAAAGTGGAGCACTGTTGAGGCGAGGGGAAGGTTTTCCGCAGTTATACATAGTGGCCTGGTGTGGAATCATGGAGACTGTGCCCGCTTGAATAACACTGCTGCTGCTGGCGCTCTTGTTCTTCTCCGTAATCTTCTCCGTAGATTTCTCCGCAGTTTTCTCCACATTTGCCTGTTGCAGATCGAAGTATCCCATCTCCTCCGCTCGTAAGTGTCCTGGATTTGTATGGTAGGACGAGTCGTACGTGTGAGAGAGTTTCTGCTGTGGTATTTCAATGCTGGGAAGCGAAGTCGCATTGAGAGGCGAAGTAGGATTGGGAGATGAAGTAGGATTTTGGTATAGTGCGGGGCCCAAAAACTGTTCGATTCTCTCTAATCTCTGCTCAAATCTCTGTATTTCTTGACGTATCATACCACCAAATGCAGTCATTAGACCATTGATCGTATCTTGTGAGAGGTCAGAGATCATTGGCTGTGGATTTGGTGTGTTGACGGCTTGGTGGGAGGTGCTTGGCACGAGTTCTCCGCTTGTTTCTCCAATTGTTTTCTTCTGATAAGCTGGTGGGGCCATGATGTAGATGTCAAATGGCCTATTGAAAGGATTGACTTGATTGGCTGGTTTTTGCGTAGACTGAATCTAGCTGCGTAGCGGAAGCGCGGGGACTGACTGTCGGTAGATCGTTACTGCGGGTTGAGTGACGGTATAGACGACTTGGAAGAGGACCTGGGTTAGGTGTGGCTACCAATTGTCAAGGAAATGGATGACTGGGTCATGAATTCATGGTGGTGTAAAAGATGTTGATTATTCTATGTGCCTGCAAGGCAGATATGTGCGGTGCCAAGCCACGCTAGGCCCAATTGGGTGGTGGCTCTGGAGAAGGCCTTAACGTACCGTGACAGGCTGTCGAGTAAATTTAATAAGCGAACTTTTAATAGATAATATTTGAATTCGTTATATTTAAATATCTATAAGACTTAACTTAATAATTCTTTTTTTTCTAAAAGCCCACATTTCGTTCTATAATTTTAAAAAAAAATCTTAAAAATTTAATAGAAAATAAAAAGGTTATTCTAAAATTAAATAATATATATCTATTTTTTAATTAGAGCTATCCGGCTGTTAGCGATCTTTAATAAGCGAACTTTAATAAGCGATATTTGAATTTCTTACGCTTTAATAATTATAAGACTAAATTTTAGAATTCTTAAAAATTCGAAAAGCATAAATAGCGTTTTGAAATTTAAAAAAGAAATCTCAAAATTTTAATAGAAAATAAGAAAGTTATTCTATATATTAATAATATATATCTATTTTTTTAAGAAAAGAGGCGCGAAAGGACTAGATTTTAATAATTACGGACGCTAGTTTATTTACTTACGATATCTAATTAAAAGATATAAACTTAATAAATTAATAATTAGCTATATATATAAATTTAAGATTTTCTAATTTAGCTCTATTTTATTCTTTTATTAATATATATAAAAGAATAAGATAGAGCTAAATTAGAAAATCTTAAATTTATATATATAGTTAATTATAAATTTATTAGATCTATGCTTTTTAATTAAATATCGTAAGTAAATAAATTAGCGTTCGTAACTATGAAAATCTCGCCCTTTTATATCTTCTATTACGAGCGTATTCTTAATATATCTTTTAGTCCTATAACTAGCGAGTCTTAGCGAAGATATTCTCTACTATATTATATCTTCTTCCCATCTATATAGTTCGATAATCTTATTATTCTTATTCTATCTTACTTATATTAGTATCGTATTTATACTAATTCTAATATTATAATAAAACTCTTTTATATTCTCTTTACCCGGCGAAGAGAAACTTAAATAAATAAGATATAATTAAGTTTTTAATTATATACTCGAGAATAGTAGAGTAACTAAATAGCTATTAAAGATCTACTTTCTTTTATTCGAATTAGCGAATAAATTTAAAGAAATACGCTAATAGAGGCTTTAGTAAGAAATTAAGTTAAGTTATTATATCTTTAAATAAGCTTACTAGATAAATAACTCGATTTTAAAGAGCTTAATAAGATAGCGAAACGGCCTCGTTAGAATAATAGGTGAGAGATAAATAAGATATAATAATTATTTATACGATTAGCGAATTAATAATAGAAAGAAATCGTTATAAACTTTATATATAGTAAGTTTACTATAACGATAGTAAACGTTTAACCTCTTTACTAAGTATATCGATAATATATTTATAATAAGCCTACTATAATAGCGACGAAAACAGCCTTAAAAATAACTTTATTCGATTTCTTTACTAAGTATATCGATAATATATATAATAAGTCTACTATAAGAGTAGTAAATATACGATCTCTTTATTAAGTATATCGATAATATATATAATAAGTCTACTATTAAATGGCATTTAATATATTTAATTCTTTCTCTATCTCTCTATTAAATCTACGAATTAATAAATATAATTAAGTTAAGAGAAAGAATAGAATAGAGAATAGACTTAATAATAAGAGTATGGAAGATATAGAGTAAATCTATAGTAAAGCTCTTAGGCTAGGCTATTAATAGGTGTTAAAGAATAATATATATATACGTTAAATTTTCTTTAGTTCTATTGATGAACTTAATAATAAGAGTATAAGAGATATAGGGTAAATCTATAGTGAAGCTCCCAGATCAGGCTGCTAAAAGGTGTTGGAGATAAATATATGCGTTAGATTTTCTTTAATAGTAGAAGAACTATGATAAGAAGATTAGGCGAGAAGAGAAACTCGGAGAATCTTATTGGTACGTAGGTAAGATATGGCTAATATCTTCAGAATCTCTATGATAGGAATGTATGGAATAGTCAAGACCAGCATGCGATCCGGCAAAACCTCGGATATGGTGTTTTTGAACGAATTGAAATCATCCGATGTTTAACTGCTATACCTTGGCAAATCCTCTTCGATCGAGGTCTATAGAGATTATGGATGTTTGGAGATATAAGGTAAGTAATGAGCCTATATCTTCGGTCTACCAGCTATGGGGGCTATGGCTATTTGAGAGGAGGGGGTAGTGTTACGAGCGTACCCTTGATACACCCCTCAGCCCTATGGCTAGCGGGCCTTGGCGGAGGCATCCCCTACTATATCATGCCTCCTTCCCACCTACATAGTTCGGTAGCCTTATTATCCTCGTTCTACCTCACCCATACTGATATCACACCTATGCTGGTCCTGACACCTTCCTTATTAAAAAAATAGGTGTACGTTATTCACAATAGTAATAACTTTTTTATTTTCTATTAAAATTTTGAAATTTTTTATTTTAAATTTTGAAGCGCTATTTGCGCTTTCCGAATTTTTAAGAATTTTGAAAATTTGTCTTATAATCATTAAAGCGCAAGGAATTCAAATATCGCTTATCAAAGTTCGCTTATCAAAGATCGCTCACCTATTTACTCGATAGCCCTGATTAAAAAAATGATTATGAATTTAATTTATAGACCTTTACTCGTATATACTAATATTATTAATAGAGTAAATATAATTTTAATAAGCGATATTTAAATTTCTTATCTTTAAATACTTATAAGATTAAATTTAATAATTCTTTTTTTATTTAAACGCGAAAATTACGCTTTATAATTTAAAAGAAATTAAAAAAACTTAATAGAAAAAAGAGAAGTTATATTAATAATAAGTTTATAAGAAATTAATTGAAATTTAATTAATAAGAAGTTAATTTTAATATATAAAATTATTATTTTATATTAATTATTATTATTTTTAAATTTATAATTTTTAGAAATTTTATTTATTATACGAATTTTACGAATTTTATAATTTTACGATTTTTTAATAAGAGAGATTTATGAATTCGAATCGAGAACGAAGTAAAAGAGTTTCGAAATTTATTAAAACTATTATTACTCGACTATCTAAGTTTATATTAAAGAGTATTCTTAATAAAATAAATAAGTTTTTAATAAGCGATATTTGAATTTTTTATCTTTAAATATTTATAAGACTAAATTATATAATTTTTATTACTTTTAAAGTATAGCTTATATTCTATAATTTAAAAAAAAAATCTAAAATTTTATTAGAAAATAAAAAAGTTATTCTAAAATTAAATAATATTTATCTATTTTTTAATTAGAGCTGTCGAGTGAACTTTAAAGAGCGATATTTAAATTCTTTACTTTTAAATATTTATAAGATTAAATTTAAATATATTTTTTATCTAAAAGTCTATATTACGTTCTATAATTTAAAAAAAAAATTAAAATTCTAATAGAAAATAAAAAGGTTATTTTTTAATTAAGGCTATCGAGCGAACCTTAAAGAGCGATATTTAAATTCTTTATCTTTAAATATTTATAAGAGTAAATTTAAGAATCCTTTTTTTATTTAAAAGTTCAAATTACGTTCTATAATTTAAAGAAAAAAATTTTAAATTTTAATATAAAATAAAAAGGTTATTTTAAAATTAAATAATATATATTTATTTTTTAATTAGAGTTATCGACTATTAAGCGAACTTTAATAGATAATATTTAAATTTTATATCTTTGAAAAATTATAGTATTGAAATTTAAATATTATTTATTATTAAAAAGCGTAAGTTACGAGCTATAATTTAAAAAAAAATTTAAAATTTTAATAGAAAATAATAAAGTTATTAAAGGGTGAAAAGTAGAATAAGAGATTTTTAATAATTACGGACGCTAATTTATTTACTCGCGATTTCTAAATAAAAAGCGTAAATCTAACGAATTTATAATTAGCTATATATATGAATTTAAGATTTTATAACTTAACTCTATCTTATTCTATTATATATATGAATAAACTTCTTAAATTTATTTCAATTAAGCTATATTAATATTATTTAAAGCGAAAAGATTAAAAGAGACTATATATATCTAGAATTATAGAGAGTATAATTTAGACTTAAGATAATAACTAGTAGAGTTTAAATATAAAAAAAGTAGATTAATAATATAAGAAGTTATATAATCGAAGAAAAGACGTAAAAGATTAATAAGATTATAATATATTTTATAATTAATAGATATATTCTATTATCTTCTCGATATCTTAATATAAATCAAAGAGTAAGCTATTTTATTAGCTTTTTTCTCTATAAAGTAAGATATATTTTAATACGATTTTAAAAAGATATAGATAGTTTAGTTAATAACTTCTTTCGTCGCTAGTAGTCGAAAAGATATAATATTTAATATGAGATTTAAGTAATTTTCGAGATATTATTCTAAAATATATAAAATATTTCTAATTCTACTCGTTATTTTTTATATAAATTATCGTATTATAAAATCGTCTTATATAAAATAAACTAGTCTCGTTATAGAGCTTTAAGAATTATAAGATTCTATAAATAGATTATAATAATATAAATTTTTAAAGAAAAGAAGTAAAAGTTGAAAAATTCTAAGTCTAAAATTTTTTATATCTTTTCGACCAGTATCCGCCGCTAATCTTACTAAGCGAGTTAGCTTACTTTTAAAACGCACGACTATCTTAAGGTCGTCTATTAGTGTAAATCTTCCTTTTACTCGCAGTAACTCGCAGTCTCCATCTTTAAAGCTTCGGTAAAATTAACATGCTTAGAACAACAATATACCCTCACTCACAGACAACTTTCCAAGATGGTCTCGCAATGGGTCAAGAACTGGTGCACGTGGCTTTTTTTCCAGAAACCCATCAGAGTTGGCAAAAAGAGGGGATGGGAAATTGAGTATCACCACATGCTGATCCTCTACCGACATCTCTTCATCCTATTTTCCATACTTTGGGGGGTCCCTCTTCTGCTTACTATAACCTGGTCTGGCCTTGTCCAAGGCTGCTCGTATCCCGCCACAAGGCATCACTTGGGGCACTTTTGTATTGAGCCTTTTGAGAAGATTCAATCCGAGGTGCCGTGGTACCTTGACTTATGGAACACTTCAAGAGATACTCATAATCTTTCCGAGATATCTATATCTCCTAGAATTGAAAGTATCATGACGAGTCCGTTACAAATCCGGGACACAGAGGTTGCTTTGCGCCAACAAATGTTGAAGTTGAGAGAATCAGACTCCAGCATCGTGCCAGATGAAGCCTTACAGGATCTTGGTAAGTCAACTATATGCCTCCTATTCCATTGCCAACCCACTACATAGTAGTTTGGATACTAATCATTCTCTGTATACCAGAACGACTGATCCCACTCGTCTCCGATCTCCATACACAACTTGATAACTTTTCTAGCACCTTTTGCATGGAACGAGATATCATGAGTCACGCATTTCGTGGCTGGGTTGACACATATTCGAAGATTGTCGCCGACTCTGATTTCGTGGAATTTTCCCTAGTATCACTGTTCCTCTTCCCCCAAAATCATGGCCTAAGATTTTTCAACCATTTCTTTCTGGTTCCCTTTCTACCCAAGCCAAGAATCTACAATGTGCAAGTCAAGGCGGAGATCCAGTTTCAGAGAGAAAGATTCCTCGCCGACACCAAGGAAGCTCTTGGAAATATTGACGGCAGTCTCCTTTCGATTCAGAGTTCCGGGAATTCTTCAAACCTTACGGAACTACTTGGCGCAGCTACTAGGGGGATGATGGCATATCAGCAGAATCTCGATCAGAATATGAACGCCTTGAAGGATAAAGTTCTATTCGGGGGCCTTATACGTACTATCTTCGGCGAGTCTCAAGAGATCAAGAAACTGAAACAGTATCACGCGCTTGTTAGTCATATACTCGTTCGTCTCGGTTCAATAAATGCAACCGTGGCAAGATGCGAAGTCGACTCCAGGTCATTGAAAGTAGGACTATCCCAGCTTCGCAGGAGTTTTGAGTATAGCCCTAATTTCGAGTTTTCACCTGCCGGTCTCATATCAATTCCGCCCTCATTGTCGGCACAATTGAAGTCGCCTCCCTTTACTTTGCTTAAGCAGAGCAGCGGTTTCGATAATGAGAACGGCAGCAAGGAGACTAAGCCTTTTCCGTCTTACGATAAGTGGGAGTACGATCTTGACAAGGTCATCAGTACCAATGTCTTGACTCGAAGGACTGCGATAGCCGATTGGTGTCAAGATGGCGGAAATTACGTTATGCGTTCAGGCTTCTTGTATACGGTCTGCAATATATGGTCTCAGGCAAAATTGATGTCGACACTTGATGATGATCTTCTGAGTGGTGTACAGAGAAGTTGGATCATGGAACGGGAGAAGGCGATACATCGATACGAAAAGACGATTGGGCTTGATTTTGCAAATATTATCCATGATGTACTACATGTGTATGATAGCACTTAGCGTGGTAGACCAGTACCACATGTCTTGATACTCCAACTTTAATTAGTTCATCAAATTCATAAGACATGCCTGGGAAAAACTTGGAAGATTTCACACGGGCTGCATCTCCATCCACAACATTTGATACGTACCAAAACCGTGTGGCAATCAGGCGCTGCCCGCGGACATGCTGCCCAAGTCAACAAATCGTCTGATCAGCCATGGCGAGCATGGCTTACTGAGAGCTCTACGATCCGGAAACCGCTTACAGCGCTAATTTGTGTGGCCATTGAGCGCGCGGGCTGGGGTTGTCCCCGCCAGCCATGGCATGAGCAATTGCCAGCAATCAAGGCCTCGGAGTGGAAGGGAAAAGGGATCGTTTCAATGACGGTTTGACCCTGAATAGTCTCGATGAACCGGTCACCTTGGGGCAAATTACCAAATCGTACCCCGAAAGTACGAATCCTTGTCAAATCATACCCCTAATTACCGAATCATACCTCTACATCAAATCAAATTCAAGTATAGAATATAAATTGTATAATTCGATAATTTATTATTATTAGTATATATAAAAGAATAAGATAGAGCTGAATTAGAAAACCTTGAATTTATATATGTAGCCAATTATAAATTTAGAGTTACTACGCTCTTTGATTAGATTAGCTAAGTTATCGCGGGTAAATAAATTAAAATCCGCAACTATTAATATCTCGCCCTCTCGCGTATCCTTTATTAAATTATAGGTGTATATTATTTATAATAGTAATAACTTTTTTATTTTCTATTAAAATTTTAAAATTCTTTATTTTAAATTTTGAAGCGCTATTTGCGCTTTTCGAATTTTTAAGAATTTTGAAAATTTATCTTATAATTATTAAAGCGTAAGAAATTTAAATATCGCTTATCAAAGTTCGCTTATCAAAGATCGCTTACCTATTTACTCGATAGCCCTAATTAAAAAAAAAAATTATAAATTTAATTTATAGACCTTTACTCGTTTAATATATAATTTAATAATTTTTTAAAGTAATCTTAAATTATAAAGAAGATAATCCGCGATCTATAAGATAGTAAGATTTCTTTTGATAAAACTGCGTAGTAGCTATATAATTATAAGATCTAGATATATAAATAATAGAATAGATAGATTAGTTACTAGATAAACTAATAACTAAAGAAAAAAGAAGAAAAAAGAGAACTCGTAAGTATTTAAGACTTTATTAAATATATTAAATACTTATCTTAGCTATATAGCTTATAGTCTAATAAGCAATATATAATAAAACTCTTAAATTAAAACGACTATACTATAGGTAAGTTATATTAAGTTATAAGAATTCAGATTATTATAACTTCGATCTCATCTTCGATCTCGCTATTACTATTTAATAAATAATTAATATAAGATATTAATAGATCACTGCGGAGATTAACGATTTTAAATTATTAATCTATAATTAGATAATAGCTAGCTCTTATATTAAATAATAAAAAAAGACTATAAATAAATAAATAAATTTCTTTATTATAATAAATACTTAAAAGCTTATTTCGAGAATAAAGAATATACTAATTCTTATTAATAGATAAGTTTATAAGATAAAGAAGAAACTTAATAACTTTATTCTCTATAAAGCACGCTAAATAATTCGAGGTTTTAAATAAATCTATGACGTTAATTACGATTAAATCTTCGCCTTAGTTATTAAGTTTATATTATTTAAGATACTATTTATAATTATAATATACTACGATCTAGACTATAAGTAAATAAATATTATTATTATATTTCTTAATATATTACTAAAGAAAATTATTTATATAAAATAGTTTAAAGAATATAAGAAGAAAGATAATAAGATATATCTACTACTTAGAGTATTATATAATCTAAAGTAATCGCTATAAGAATAATACTTTATCTTACGAGACTTTCTTATATCTAAAGAATTTAAACCTATCGAATTTAATTACTTACTCTTTATTAATAAGAAAATACGACTTATCGTTAACGTATATATAGATAATATTTAGATTTATAATCTAAAAGAATTAAAATAGATATTAAAGTTTAAATAAGATCTTTATAAACGATTTATTATAATCGATCTTAAGCTATACTTATATTATTTAAGTATAGAAATCTAGAGAAATTAAAGAAAGAGAATCGTTCGAATTACGTAAACGACGTATTTAAGAAAGGTACTATCACGATTTAATATAACTAACTATATATCTACCCCTATATTAATAATAATAGATATTTAACTATAAGAGAAACTAGTTAATAAGATTAAATTAGAAGTTATTTAGAAGTACTAATTAATAATAAGATCGATAATATACTTTATAATTTAAATATACTCGAATATCTATTTTATCGTTATAATTCTTTCTTAATATAATTATAACCTTAATTCGAAACATATTATAGCTATTAAACGAGTTATTTATTATCTAAAGAAAATACTAATTTATAATATTATATATAAGATAACTAATATATTAAAAGGCTATACGAATACTAATTAAGTCTTAAATTAAGAGACTTATCGATTTCTTAAAGTCTATATATTCTTACTCTATAATAAAATAGTTAATTAAATATCTAAATAATAATAGTTTATTATATTATTATCTTATAAGATTAAATATATAGCTTAGATTTAAATAGTAAAGAAAGCTATTTAATTAATTAGACTTCTAAGCGAATTAGATATTAGCTTCGAATTATCTAATAGACTAATATTAATTAAAATAAATAATTAAAGAGCTATTATATTAATTAAAAACTCTCGCTTTCACTTATATATTAAGTATATTAATATTTAATAATATTTTATATAAAATTAAGTAGAAATAGAAGTAGTTATATTTAAATAGATATTTATTAATAATATAATTATAAATAAACTTATTAAAGTCTTTATTAATAATAAGTTTACTATATTTATATATTAAATTAAATTTAAGAAAAGCGAATAGAAGAAGTAACTTAAATTCGAACTATATAAGAATATTAGAACTAATAGTATTTTTAATTATTATTTAAACTATATAAAAGTATTAAAATTAGCTAATAGAAGGCTAGTATTCTATATACTATTAAGTTTTAAATAGATATTATAACTACGTCTTATAATAATAAATAGTTTTAGCGTAACTTTATATTATAGATAGATAGTTATCTTTATTCTTATTATATACTTCTTTATAGAATATAATAATAAAGAATTATTCTATATAATTTGAGATTATTAAGTATATACTATTTTTAATATATTCGATTCTATTTGTATTATATTCGAGTACGATATAATATTACTTAATATAAAATATTCTATAAAATATATTATATCTTTTCGACTAGTATCGACTTACGGCTCGTAAGTCGATAGTTTTAAAAATTTTAATATTACGATAAGTAGTAGCCTCGTAATTAATTAGAGACGAGTTACGTATAGAAGTATAAGATAAATCTATAATATAATTATATAGATATTTAAGAGTATAAATATTATTTTTAATAGAGAAAGAAAGTCGATAGTAGTCGAGTAAATCTCGAAGTAGAGAAATCTATTAATCTCTAATACTACTATAGCTATTATATAATAATAAGCTATTTTAATAATAAATAATAATAGCTTTAATAGTAATAGCTATTAAAATATTAGATATATAATATATAGAATAGACGAATTAATTCTCTAAAATCTCTTTAGAGTTAGATTTTAAATATAGTATAAAATTAGATAGCTAAAAGATATAGTAGCTAAAATACGCGAGAGCTATATTTTAATAATAGATATAATAGTAGTAGAGATAGTAATAATAGTTATAATAGTAATAGCTATAATAATAATACTAATAGTAGTAAAATATTACGATATTATAGTTATACGATTAATCGTTAACTAGAATAATAAATAGAATAGCTACTTATACTTCTAAATATAGATATCTTAATTAAGATATCTTATATATATACTATTCTATAGTATAATATTATAGATATACTATATCGTAATATATATTATTAAGATCTCGAATCTATATTAGAAAAGAAATATAGTATTCGACTCTATTTATATTATATTTAAGTACGATATAATATTAATTAATATAAAATATTCTATAAGATATATTATATCTTTTCGACTAGTAAAATAATATTTAATTATTTTCGAATAATTTTTTAATTTATTTTTTATCTTCTAGTTTTTAATATTTAAAAATATCTATTTATAGTAATATAGTTTTCTTTAAGAAATCTATAATATATAATATATTCGATTTCTCTTTAAACTTTTTTATAAAGATATTAATAAAAAAAAAATCTATCTTTATAGATTTAGTTAAGTTTTAAAAAATAAATAATCTTTTTAATAGCTAATTTTTATAATTTTTAATAAAATAATTTTTAAAGTTAGTTATAGAAATAGTTTAAAGATTATAATAAATTATAATTTAGATATCTAATATAAAATTCTTAAGTTAAGAATTAATAATAATAATAAATTTAAATAGATAATAATATTTTAATATTAGAGGTCGATATTTAATTTAAATACTTTAATTTATATTTAGTTAAAAATTCGTAATCGATATAACGTAGATATTAATCTTTCTTTACTTTAATATTTATAGAATTTTTGCTTTTATTAATAATATAAATATAAATAATAATTTTAAAATCTTAATCTTAATTCTTAGAATTCTTTTAAGTTACTTAAATAAAAATCTTATCTTTATCTCTAATAATAATAAGATTAAACTCTTTTTATTAAATGTTTATACTATTTAAGTTTAGAATATTAATGTTAATAATTATATTATAAAATAAGTTAAATATAATATAAAGCTCGCTGAAAACAATTTTTTTAATTATTATTTATATATTAATAGAGAAATATATATAATCTTATAATAATAATACTCTAGCTTTTACTCTCTTATAATAAAGTTTTCTTTTATTAAATATAGAATAGACTTTATTCTTATTTAAAAAATCTTAACTA